GTCCTGTCCAGGATGTGTGTGTGTGTGTCTCTGTGTGTTCTGTGATGGATTGGTGTCCAGTCCAGGGTGTATCCTGCCTTGTGCCTGTTGCCTCCGTCTCTCCTGCGACCCTGAATTGGAAGAGGCAGTTAGAAAATGGAGGCGTGGATAAGCACTGTATTGTCTTTTGTAGACTCTGCTGCACCTACCTTGGGTTAATCCTGTCTTTGCAGGGGTGATCCAGCTTCCTAGTCATACAGCCCAGGAGGGGAGGGGGAGCGGACTAAACCAGACACGCTGAACGTGTTTTCACCTCTGTTCATTCTTTAGTTTTTTTTTCCTAAGACGGGTTGTTGTCAGGTGAGGGAGCGCAGGGGGAACTGGTCTCAAGCAGCCCAGAAGCACCGTTTAGCTCCGACCTGTCGAGCACAATGGTATCCGTGCCGAAGAGCCCAGTTTCTAATTGGTTCTAATTGTCTCTCTGTTGCTCTGTTGTTGTTGTTGTTGTTGTTGTTGTTGTTGTGGTTGAGAGATTATTCATTTGACATTTGTAAAAAAATTAAATAAATGCGGGCCATCCCGATTTATGAGTCGAGTTTCTAAACCGATTGCGTTAGTTTTGCAACTATTACATGAAGGCCGAAGTATACAACATATAAACCGTTTGTCCGTTTTAGCTCGCGTCGTTCAATTGAGCTGAGTTTTTATCTCTTCGATGCTGTAAAATGTTGATGTTAGAAAATGCTTGGAACATCTGTTTGCTGCTCTTTGTTGAGGTAGTTTTCGTAATTTATTGAACAGTGATGTGACATACGATTCTGCTCCATAGAAACGGTGATTTGCGCGTTTCACGATATTTAACTAAACTGTACATATATCTGTATTGAACGTGTTCACATTGTGATTTAGCCACGATCATGAGAATTTATTACAGGGCTATTTCTAAAAGGTCAGAGTTCGTTGTTTTATGCTCCACATTTAATACAAACGTTTCCAAAACATTGTATATCTGCCGCTTAATGGTTTTAAAAATAATAAATTGTTTGTCATAAAAATGCTGGTATTGTGCGCGTAAGTGAACCGCATTTAACAGCTAATGTTACCCTTTTTCTAATGTCAGCAATGTGGTTAAATGTGGAACTGTCCGGTATAATACTTTTACTGAGCGTCAAAACATACAACCAAATGAGAAAAGGTATCCGAAAAGATGAAATGACAGAAGAAAATCCTAAATTAATACCCTGCTAGAGAGAATTACAAATCAGAACACAATAAATTAAATTTTTCCAAACAGGATTTTTTATTAGTGAATGATATACACCTGGTATTGCTAACAGATTAATTATAACCAAAATAGTCTTCTTCCATATGACGTGTTGCAAAGTTTCACATCATATCAAATTCCTTGAATTCACATTTCAGATGCTTGACGGTAACGTTTTGCAACGCCATCAAAACAAAAACATGTCAACAAACACACGTCACGGTTTATTTGCCAGCCCCACGGTTTAGAAAGTGGTAGTTTAACAGAATAAATCCCAGGAAAAACATGTTACTTCCCTACACACAACGATAAAGACATATCTGCCGGGGGTTGTCCAAATTGATTTCCAGTTCGTATTTTCAGACATTGTGTTCCAGAAGGATATAAAATGAAATCCCTAATGTGATTCATTTCCACATCAACCAAGAACAAATAAACTGTAAAATCCGGGGGGGTCAGTACTTTTCCTTTTGTGCTTGATGTCGTTGTTGTTTCATATATAGTACTGTGTACTACTAGAATTGATGTACTAAGACTTGTTCTGTGCCAGTTGAAAAAAAAAGTAATCGAGAGAGAGAGAGGGCCCCAATCCAAATCTGACTGACTTGCATGCTTTTCTTGTTTAAATGAAATGTGCTTAAACGAGGAACAATCCTCATTTTGGAGAAAGAAATATGTTTTCCTTTTCAGCGTGTTCGCCTACGTCTGCCATGGCAACAGTTACCAAGGACGCTCAGCCTGCGACGGAAGATCCGGTCAAGTGCGCCACTCGCTTCCTGTTCGGGGAGACACACGCGCAGGCGGTACTTCCGGTTTCTTGTGTGCGTTCAATGCCGATGCTGGGTGGGCGCCTCCGGGGGCTGGAAACCGCACGAACCGTTTTTTAAAACCCGCCCGCAGCCGCGCCGGCCGAAGAAAGATGACGGACTGGCTGTTCCCTCTCGAAACCGAGCTGCAGTCCTTCACGGAGGTGCTGCTCAAGGCGATCGTGTACGAGGTGTCGGACGTGTTCCGCAACAAGATGTCCGACTCCGAGGACGCGTTTCGGGCCAGGCTCCACAGGCTTTCCCAGATCCTGGCCCGGCGGGCCGTGTTTAAGATAATCAAGTTTGTCGAGGGCACTTTCGGGACGGAGATTTTGCTCTTGAAGCAGGAGGTGGAGACCCTGCGGTCGAAGCTGCAGTTCTGCGAGACGGGAGGAGATCGGGGACGGATAGAGGGATCCCCACGGATGTATCTCGGGTACACGCCTCCCTGTGAAGCCACGGGAGAAATCAAAGAAGAAATTCACGTCAAATGGGAGCTGTCGGGTAAGTGTAGCGCTTCGTAAGAGCTTGGCGTTTTAAAACCCCTCCGTCGCTGTTTTGATCGGGGCGGGGGAGACGCCAGATCACGCACAACCCCAGCACGTAGATGATGGTGGGTGTAGGTGATGCCGTCTTCACTCGATCGTTTTCGAGACGGGGCTTGGCGAATCGAGCTCTGATGAGCTGACCTCCGTCGATGACAGCCGGACACGGGACAGCGCCCGGCGCGGTGCTTTTTTTTTTTTTTTTCGAGAGCTGATCGATCGCCTGGTCCGCTGCAGGCGTGTGATCGCGGTGTTGCGGGTCGGCCTCAGACGTCGTAGACACACGGTGCATCGGCTGTGTTGAGGCGGATCGATATGCATTTCGGGTACGTGCGTAACGTGAGAAAAGAGCCTGCACGGGGTGTCCATTCATTCTCATTATTCACTATCACAATAGGGGTTTCGTCACATCTGCGACCATCCACAGTTCCCCAGCAAGTCAAAATAATGAAAACGGATTCTCTTCGGTGTTTCAACGATGTAATGACTTTAAGCAGCTGCTCTCTTAGTCTTTCTGCACCTGGAGAGAAAATGCCGGGTCGATCGGAGGGAACTTGAGCGTATGGAATTTGTTCCTGAAGGAAGATGACACTCCTATTACTGAAGCCGGTGAGAGCTTGGCTTTGGTCTCTCACGGACATCTGCTTCCATCTAAAGGTGTTCCTTGTGGAACTGGAGCCCAGCAGGTGGGAGCCTGGTCAGTACCTGGAGGGG